AACTCTCAGCATACAGGACGCATTTTCCCATATCCTGAAACGAGCTTGGAGCTGTGAGACGTCACGCGATACGTGTTCATAGAGATCTGGTCTCATTAAGGCTGCGAACTCTCTAAGTGGACGGAACTATTTGGGGCAATATACACCCCCTTCAGCTTTTTAAACCCAGCGCTTCGGGTACTGGATCTCTTTCCATCGTCAGGTGTAAGGGACGCTGTTAGACCCGTTACTGCACTCACGCACGACAGCCGTAACTGTTCAACAGAACCGAATTAGCTGCATGTGTTGTCAAATGTGCAATGCGGGTTGTCTGTTGTCAGGGAAGTGCCAAAAAGTTATGGCCTAATTGAAGGATTTACAGGGTTTGCGGTAGAGCTTCAGAAGCACTGATGAAAATGTTATCAAAATGTTCAGAGAATTATAAGGGGGCTTGTTACGTAACATATAATCATACAGTGTAGCATACGAGCGGTATGTGGCGGCCATTTCTTTTAGAATAACACGTCGAATGATAATGAATGCATCTACCACTAAGCCCAGCACAAAATTGTTTCCTTAGTAGAGGACATAAGTCACTCATGGAGCTGAGTCCTTCTTGAGAAGCTGCTAATTGTGCAGTGACTCGCGAACTCAGCAATTTATGGAACCTGAAGGTTCATTGCCGTGTTAACAAGAGCCCTCCAATGGTTCATATCCTGAGCCAGATCAATCCAATCTATACCATTACATCCTACCTCTCTAAGAGCCATTTGAATATTATTCACCCGCCTACGTCTTTGTCTTCCATATGTTCTCTTTCCTTCTGGCTTTCCCACCAATACCTTACATACATCCCTCTTCTCCCTCATTCGTGTCATTTGTCCAACTCATCCTTCTTGACTTGATCATTCAAATTATATTTGGAGAAGAGTACAAGTCATGAAGCTCCTCATTATGCAGTTTTCACCAACCTCCCGTCACTTCATCTCTCTTCGGTCCACAAATTCTCCTCAGCACCCTGTTCTCAAACACCCTCAGTCTATGTTCCTCCCTTAATGTCAGACCCAAGCTACACACCCATACAGAACTATAGGTAAAATTGTAGTTTTGTATATTCTAATTTTTAAGTTTTTAGAAAGCAGATGAGAAGACAAAAGGCTCTAGACTGAATTGTAGCAAGCATTAACCGAGTTCAATATCCTCTTAATTTCCTCCTGAATCAGGTTTTGATTTCTTATCGTCGTTCCCAAATATCTGAACTGTGTCACGTTTTCAAAATATCTGTTACCTCTCTTTATATCATGAATTTGCCCTGCATTTTTTGACGATACAGCAACATATACTTTAGTTTGCTTTTAGACCAACCTCCTTACTTGCGTCGGTTAAAGTTTGTGTGATTTTCTTCATGGTATCTATATTATCACCCAGTAGATTCACATCAACGGCATAGACCAACAGCTGATGTTTCCCGTTTGATTTCAGTCTCACATGGTTTTCCTGGATCTTCCTAATGGCATATTCTAAAGCAAAGTTGAAAAGCAGTGGCGATAAAGCATATCCTTGTTTCAGACGAATCTGGATAGGAAAATTATCAAACAAATGTTTACATATACTGACTTTACCATACGTTTCGTTTAAACACATTTTAATCAGCCTAACTAGTTTTATGGGTATCCTAAACTCTATCAAAATATTGTACAGTACTTCCCTCCTAACTGAATCATAGGCTTTCTTGAAGTCTATGAATAGCTGATGTACTGTCTCATTGTATTCCAATTTTTCTCCAATATCCGATGAATGCAAAATATCTGAGTAGTTTTTGATCAGTTACGTCGAAACCCACACTGATGATCCCCAATAATTTTATCTATGTATGGTCCTAATCTTGAGAAAAGAATACTGAATGAAATTTTGTGTAAAGTTGATAGCAGTGATATCCCATGATAATTACTACAGTCAGTTTTACCACCATTCTTGTGAACTAGTTCAATAATAAACTTCTTCAACTGATCACACAAGTTTTTCCTTATTCCAGATAGAATTAATTAGCTTATGGATATTAGAACGTAATATTTCACCTCATGATACGGACTTTATTTCTATCATAACATGTTATATAAATAAGCTATTATACATTTAATAGTTACGTGACGGTGTAAAGCACACAAACCCTAGGCAATATTATTAAAATTTAATATTTTAAGAAGATAAAGAAGATCAAGAAAGCTGTGAAAGGAATCGGTAGAAAACTGACGTCTAAGCCAACATTGGAATTACGAAAGAATAAATAATGCGCTTTTTCCGTTCACTTATTTTATTCACAGGTAAGATACGCAAGCAGTTACATTACGACTACATACAATCATCTTCAACGAATTCTCATATGAAAATTCTGCTAGGGATTAATTCTTCTATCACTGACATTAGGCAAAAGCATTCATCTTGAATGATTTAACAGCCAGTGAAGAAAAGGCCATAAAATTTACAGCCATGCTTACCTCCCGAAAGTCCTTCGGGATTTTCCCTTCAAATCTGCACCAGGATTCACACAGTTCTATCCCATGTATGCAGCCTGTACTCACGGCTATTTCTCCTGCTGCGCATGTGCGTTAATCAGCCGAATATCCAACTCACATTATTGAACACCACTGCACTTGTCAAGTTAATGTCGAATTTAGTCTTCACCTCCAGTTGCAATGTAATTGTAAACTACATATTATCTTATCGAATTTTACTACTGCATTAAAGTATGTTATTTAATCTTATCATCACTTACCGTTAAATGATTAAGTTCTCTCCGAGTTCACGAATTCTTTGATATATACTCATAAATCTTAAGCAGAACTTCTCTAAGACACACTCTCTTAAGAAAATGTGTTCCTGCTTCCGGGAATAATGCCTTTCTCTTAATGGGTCCTTAGGCGAGTTCAGTATAATATGAGACGTACAAGAAAACGGTCTCACAGCTCAG